TACGCTGTGGAATGTCCAGAAGGACCTCAAAGATCTGTAGGCGCTAGAGATGCTTCCGTCCGCCGTAAGCGAGAAGACAAGCAGTGTTAAGCCAAACACGTTCATGTTAACTCCATAGCCGAGCTTCCAGTAAACAACTTGAAAGGGTACCAGCTTTCCTCCACCACAGCTAAGATCCACGTTGTTGTAAATGCAGATGTTCCGAACAAATAAAACCAGCTCTTTTGTGTGTGCTCCCAATCCTGCTTCATTTTCATTTTTTTTTCCCCCTTCCGTGTCTCTAGTTCATTTTTTGCTTATTTCAAGCAGTGCCGCCCCTAAGCATAAACGCTGATTGGGTAACTTTGCGCCAATCACCAGGAGATTGTGAGTTCTAGTCCCACCTTGGCATGAAAGTTGACTAGATGACCTTGGGCCAAACACCAGGAGATTGTGAGTTCTAGTCTCACCGTAAGTTTGAAAGTTGACTAGGTGACCTTGGGCCAATCACCAGGAGATTGGGAGTTCTAGCCCCACTGTAAGTATGAAAACTGACTAGGTGACCTTGGGCCAAATACCAGGAGATTGTGAGGTCCAATCCCACCGTAAGCATGAAAGCCGACTAGGTGACCTTGGGCCAATCAACAGAAGTTAGTGAGTTCTAGCCCCGCCTTAAGCATGAAAGCTAACTAGATGACCTTGGGCCAATCAACAGGAGATTGTGAGTTCTAGCCCCATTGTAAGCATGAAAACTGACTAGGTGACCTTGGGCCAAGCACCAGGAGAGTGTGAGGCCCAATCTCACCGTAAGCTGATTAGGTAACCTTGGGCCAAACACCAGGAGATTGTGAGTTCTAGTCCCACCGTAAGTTTGAAAGCCGACTAGGTGACCTTGGGCCAATCACCAGGAGATTGGGAGTTCTAGCCCCACTGTAAGCATGAAAACTGACTAGGTGATCTTGGGCCAAATACCAGGAGATTGTGAGGTCCAATCCCACCGTAAGCATGAAAGCTGACTAGGTGACCTTGGGCCAATCACCAGGAGATTGGGAGTTCTAGCCCCATTGTAAGCATGAAAACTGACTAGGTGACCTTGGGCCAATCACCAGGAGATTGGGAGTTCTAGCTCTGCCTTAAGCACGAAAGCTAACCACCGTAAGCATAAAAGCTGACTACGTGACCTTGGGCCAATCACCAGGAGATTGGGAATTCTAGCCCCACTGTAAGTATGAAAACTGACTAGGTGACCTTAGGCCAAACACTAGGAGATGGTGAGGTCCAATCCCACTGTAAGCCGACTAGGTGACCTTGGGCCAATCAACAGGAAATAGTGAGTTCTAGCCCCGCCTTAAGCATGAAAGCTAACCAGGTGACCTTGGGCCAATCAACAGGAGATAGTGAATTCTAGCCCCGCCTTAAGCTAACTAGGTGACCTTGGGCCAATCAACAGGAGATAGTGAGTTCTAGCCCCGCCTTAAGCATGAAAGCTAACTTGGTGACCTTGGGCCAATCACCAGAAGATTTCTTAATTCTAGTCCCACTTTAGGCATGAAAGCCACGTGCATAATTGGGCTAGTCAACATTCAATCCAGGCTACCTCACAGAGTTGTTGTGGGGAAAATAGGGGGTGGAAGTAGGATTAGATACATTCATTACCTTGAATTATTTCTAAAAATAATAGAATTCTTTATTGGCCAAGTGATTGGGCACAAGGAATTTGTCTTTGGTGCGTATGCTCTCAGTGTACATAAAGGATACATTTGTCACAAATCATAAGGTAGAACACTTAATGATAGTCATAGGGTACAAATAAG